CATAATCATAATTTAAAGACCACTGGGAATGTTTAAAAATAGCTCAAAATATGATCGGAGTGGGACTTTAACAAAAAAAAATCAAACAGGCCTATTCTGGTGGGTGCGGTGATGCGGTGGTGTAACATGTAAGGCTGGTGCTGCCAATAAGCACCTAAAATCTGTCACAAAGAACCGGCAAAAGTAATGATTATGAATATGTAAAATATAGCAATGAGATATTTTAATTGTTTATTAATAAACAAGTGTTTTCTTTGCCAGTGTCGGCTGCAAAGATGAAGTTGACGATGCTGACTCACGATCTTCGCAGTAGTCAACGCGCCAGAGAGAAATACACAATTCATACGGATTATCTGCTTATTACATAAGCAGAGAGCAGTCTGTATTCTTACGTTTTGAATTGTTCTGTTTAAAAGTAGACCTGTCTGTGAGGCAAGTAGGCTACCTTATATGCTGAGTTTCGGTTCATTTATGAGACGAGCTCCAGTTCACGCGCCGGCGCCTCCGTGTTTATCGTCTGCTATATTTACTTCTTATTTATTAAATCCAGGCAATTGGTTGATGAAACATTGATTAAAATTAAGATACAATTAATACAAAACTAAATGCACTTTAAAGAAAGGTTTTGTGCTTTCTGTTTGGTGTGTCTGTGAAATTTTTAAAGCATCTTTTAGTGCCGCGTTCAGAGCGCTCATGTCCGTAACATTGTTTTTTCCTCATAAATGCAAACCCAATTTTTTTTTTTTTACAATTTTTTTTGTTCTGTGGAGACTACAGTTAGGCCTACTCATAATTTGTATTCTGAATACGTAACGCTGGTATATGTATTCCGTTACTCCCCAACACTGATATTAGTATAACCTTATCTGCAATATATTTTAATAACACGGTTTTGGCGGTTATAGAGTTTATTGTGGCAAAAATTCATCTCAAACAAACATCACTGCGTAAGAGACACTCAGAGTCAAATTATATAAAATAGAAGTATTTATTCTTGCAAGAATAGGAGCAGTCTAATACACAGTTGTTACCCTGTGCAGAAGAGTGACACACCCCCAGACAGACTGAACTAGCTTTTATCTTAGTTTCAAGGCCTTCTTCCCCCCAGAGCCTTCCTCCCAGTAGTTTTCCATAGACGTCACTAGTTGGCCCACTAAGCTCCCCTGCACTAAGTGGCCTTCTGACATCTAGGTCAGAGGTCCTTGTTCGTCTGTTCTCTGGAGTGTCTCCCTCTTCTGCCTCCCCAGGTACATAAACAGAATCCTCTCTCACTACAAGTGAGAGACACACATGTGACATTCTTTGAATCATCTATATTTAACTAAAGATCAATGAATATCATTAAAATTGCCACCACAAGTTCTAATGACGGTGTTCAACTATAACCATCGGTCTCACGGTTATATAATAACCGTCACACCCCTAGTTTTAACATAAACAATAATAAAAATAAAAAACCTTTCACAAACAGGTCTTTGATAACTATTCAAATGTAAATAAATATATATGTTAGGGGTGTGACGGTTCACAAAATTCACGGTTCGGTACGTTTTTGATACAGCAAAAAGAAAGAAAAGCCAGAGAAATTTCCTTGATTTAATTTTTTTAATAATTTTTCATCAAAGTATGATAATTTTTTACTTTGAGCAGTGATGGAGCTACACTTGACTCTTCTTAGGAGCATATAAAACAAAAACAGCTCCTTGCTCCTTGAAAAAAATTAATTGTAATATTGTAGTAGTTATAAACAAAGGTTTATTTTATTTCAGATTAACATTTGAGGGCAGCAATTTTATTCATAATGTCGAAATAAAACCGACGTAACGTTACTTGAAAGCATTATAGCCTACTATTCCTGCCAAACTTCCATGGTTACAGTTAGTAGTGTTACTACAGTAAATCCATGGTGAATGTTGCTGATCTGTGGGCACTGGATAGTTCATTCATGGCACAATGTTTATTCCTGTTTTCCACGTCAGCGCTGTTTGATCCGTTAATAACGGAGAAATGTGAATGTTTCTCACTAGATCTCGCTGCGATATTATTACTTCAGTGGCAAATTCAACTGCTTTCTTTACTGGATCTCTTAGTGCTGTGTAGTAACAGTGTCGCTTGATCAAGACGCTGGATTGGTCCAAACTGATAAACGATCCGTCAACCACACAATAACGAGTAGCGCAGCTGCAGTTTCGTTCCGCTTACATTACGTTTGCTATTTGATGTTGGGCAATGTTGTGGTCGCGGCAGCATCTCTTACATTATGAGCACGCTTGCCACGCCCCTACATTTTAAATAACGAAATTTTGGTCAGCAGGAAAAATAGTCCAACAAACCGTTCGGTTTGTAATGCACACTGAACCGAAAGCCTCGTACCGAACGGTTCAATACGAATACGAAAATATATATGTATATGTGTGTGTGTGTATATATATATGTATGTGTGTGTGGAATGCTTTATATCAGGCTTGATGTAATTTTACTTGATTTGTGATTTAATAACTGTTTCATTTCATTGATTCGAGTACTAAAATTTTCTATGCATCTCTGCTGCAAGCTAAACCACAACAGTGGCGTTTGTATTTATTTATTTTACATGTGTATTTTTTTGCTTTGATTGTAGCTGCTGTCATGAAATGGGACCCAGCTGCAACAGAGGCCCAAATAAAGTCTGCAGCCGATCATCTGAAACATGCCCCCGGGAGAGTCGGGGCTTGCCGCTATAAATGAAGCTTGTGAAGCTTATAGCAGCCACATTTTGTTAATTGATATGTTATACTGTTTTAACAACATTTTATAGATTATTTAAAGGGAAATTGTGTTAATTTATAACTTTACTGTTCTGGCTTTTAAGTTTTGGTCCAGTAGAACAAAATAGTAATAAAATATATATTTTGAGATTTAAATAGTTGATTTCTTGGAGTGATCAGTTTGGTTTACAGGCAAATGGTAAGCAGTTTATTACAATTATATTGATAAGATATACAAATGCAAGACTTGTATATACACTACACAGTTCCCGTATTCAATTGAGTATTCAATATTATCAAAATTCTTTCAAATCTTATTTAGGTCTATGGTCTGTGTGTCTGCAGTTTCATGACACGACAACCATTAACAATGAGTAACTGGGTTTTTCTCAGTGAGAACTAACTCACTGCCACTGTTTTGAAGTAAAGATTTTTTAAAGTTGGATCCTTGCAAAATGCACAAATGGGATTTCCGTTTCAATATGGGTCTTTAACAGTCTTCTTTGACATTTATACTACAGAAAACGTGACTAATACAACTTTTATTCTGGCTGCCTTTAGATGTCTAACAATTACGTCTGTAGCATGTCTTTAATTGACGTCTAAACAATGTCCAAATTTTTTTTATAAAAAACGTTCATTCTGGCTCCTGTGAAGACGTCTTCTGGATGTCTAACAATTACGTCTGTAGCACGTCTTTAATTTACGTCTAAACAACGTCCAGAAAAGACGTATAAAAACCTTTCATTCTGGCTCCTGTAAAGACGTCTTCTGGATGTCTAACAATTACGTCTGTAGCACGTCTTTAATTTACGTCTATACAATGTCCAGAAAAGACGTATAAAAAACTTTCATTCTGGCTCCTGTAAAGACGTCTTCTGGATGTCTAACAATTACGTCTGTAGCACGTCTTTAATTTACGTCTAAACAACGTCCAGAAAAGACGTATAAAAACCTTTCATTCTGGCTCCTGTGAAGACGTCTTCTGGATGTCTAACAATTACGTCTGTAGCAAGTCTTTAATTTACGTCTATACAATGTCCAGAAAAGACGTATAAAAAACTTTCATTCTGGCTCCTGTGAGGACGTCTTCTGGATGTTTAAAAATTACGTCTGTAGCACGTCTTTAATTGACGTCTAAACAACGTCCAGAAAAGACGTATAAAAAACTTTCATTCTGGCTCCTGTGAGGACGTCTTCTGGATGTCTAACAATTACGTCTGTAGCACGTCTTTAATTTACGTCTAAACAACGTCCAGAAAAGACGTATAAAAAACTTTCATTCTGGCTCCTGTGAGGACGTCTTCTGGATGTTTAAAAATTACGTCTGTAGCACGTCTTTAATTGACGTCTAAACAACGTCCTGAAAAGACGTATAAAAAACTTTCATTCTGGCTCCTGTGAGGACGTCTTCTGGATGTCTAACAATTACGTCTTTTAGACGTATTATAGACGACTGTTTGCTCGCTGGGGCGATTTGGTTACTCCATCCACTCCCGCTCGCTCTCTCCGTTCTGCCGGCTCTCTCTCCCTGTATCAGCCTCGTTGTAAATTGAAAACCATGGGGGGAAGAGCCTTTTCCTATAACGCGCCTAAGTTATGGAATGCCCTACCCGCATCTATTAGGGATGCTGCTTCAGTGGATTGTTTTAAGAAACTTCTTAAGACACATCTTTTTAGTCTAGCTTTTAATTTATAATTGTATTATTATTTTTATTATTTTCGATACTTTTATATTTTTTACTTCCATGTTTGATTATTTTGTTGTTGTACATGCTGTAGCGCTTTGAGTCTGAGAAAGGCGCATTACAAATAAAATGTATTATTATTATTATTATTATTACTTATTACCTTGGTAATTATAGGCTTTTATCTTCTTCTTTTTTTCTTTTTACAATAGCCTATTTTAAAAACGTTTGTAGCCAACTGACTTTTATAGGCTAAAATCTTATATTGTAAGTAACCTAAAGTTTCTCCTGCAGTTTAAAGTAAATGTAAATAATTTAAAATAAGTATTTACATTATAATTTTAAGCACACTTTTAACGTAAAATTGTAAACATTATTTACAATTGGATATTCGTGTACGTCTTCAACACCGCACGCGTGCATTTACGCGCTTCTATAAAGGGGAACAAAATGAAAATTCCACATAATTTATACGATATAACTATGATTTGGTGTAAATATTGACATATATGTGTCCATTCCCATAAAAGACTTATCAATGTGCCGTTCGGAAACAAAAGGCTACCTTTTAAAGTGTCCAAGTTCGTCGAATAGTCGCTCCACGCCAGTGGTCATTTTCAGCTTGTGCAGCTTGATCCTCAAGTGTGTGAAGGACTCTTCTGACTCTAGTCAATTTGTACATGTTAGATCTAGTAGGAGGGGCGGTTTCGGTGGGGAACTTTCCACTCCAAGCCAAACAACGATTAAAACCAAAACGTTCGCGTAACATTTGGCAATGCGACACCCCGAAGAGTGAAGTAGAGCCATCAGTGCCCATAACTGCCGAAATTAGATCATATTGCTTCGTTTGCTTCAAGTTTGTCTTGTTATAAGTATAACTCTTGTCAGGTTATGCAGAGTGCTTCGTGGTGCCCCTGGAAATATCCTTGTGACGTGAAATGGGTATAATAAATAATTTAGGCTTAATGGAAGCCTAATACATGTCAAGCGAAATCTGTTGTGAACATGCCCACTCACTTTGTCAGTGTCTACTGTCTAGGCTACTAGCCTAAGTAGGCTACGTGTGAGTGTTTTAATTAAACAGTGTTTTAATTTTAATTTATTTATTTTATCCTCCAAAGACAAGAGTTACGTTAATCAAATAGACCATTACTCTAGCAAATGTGTTAATTCAATCAATGAGTAAATCAATCAGTCAGTGCATCCTCTGTTAATAAATCATTTAGACCGGGGCTAGTTGTCACAGGGAGTCTGTCACAAGGGCTATATCTCAGTTAGTATGGTTTTGAGTCAAAAGTCTAATTCCACAAATGTGCTTTACCAGTGTTTTTGTATTGTATGTTGGGTTCAAACACACAGTGCATCAAATTCATCTTAGATTGGAATAATTTTTGTAAATGCTGTCTAACTAAACTAAAATAACAAAATCTTTTTTTCTCAATAGCTGTAGGTAAATGATGAACACTGCTTTAAACCTAGCATAAACATTTATAAACATGTCACAAAATGCATGTGCATGGCTTCAGTGACTTTTTTCTAGGGCAATAATGGTAGAGATGTTTAAGGCTTTTTTGTAGCCAACACTTTAAGGTAAATCTAGAGAAATTTCAAGTGAAGAAGTGTGACAACTAGCCTCAGCCTCTTTTTTTATTAAGGTATCCAGTTTTTGAGAGAGGCATGACAGAAATAGGCAGCTTTGATTTAAAAAAAATGTGTCCTGGAATTTAAGAGCTACTCTGAATGACTCTTGGAAAGTCATATTTATTCTCAGTGAATCTTGGTGTGTAAAGTTAAATGTGTTATGAATCTTATAAGGCCATTCATTATTATTGTTACAATCACACTGTTGTTTGATTTGTTAATGACCCTAATTTGTCCATCTGTCAGTCTCTGGATTCAGACACTTTTCCTCTCCTAAATTTAACCCTTTAAACATGTGGTCACAGCAGGGTGTATGACACTTTGCATATATACTTTATAGGCCTAGATACATATACAGCCATGCCCTCACTAAAATAACTACCTCACTACAATAGGAATTTTATTCATCTGCATCAAATACATGAAAACTTTTCAAAAAGTTATTCTTTCCACACCTTCAACATGCACATGTACAGCAGACGCATACAGTAACCTTCACTTGACCATTCAACAGCTGGTGTGTTCACACTTAAAGCATTGATTAAACTGAGGGAGAAAAGACAAAATAAATAGAAAAAAAAAACCTTATGTGTACGTCAAAACCACATAATATTTAGAAGGTTTATTAAATGATCCCTAAAGCTCTCCTGGCAAGGAAAAAACTGGATCACTGACCTCAAAAATTCATAAAACATTCTGAATTATTTAATAAATTCTAACAGTCAGATAAATGTTTGTGAATTGATTGCTTTTGATTATTTTGAATTTATTGTATAATTCTGTTATGAATTTGCAAAAAGAGAGGAGGTTATTTTATTATTTATTTCTAGAGGATTTATTGGAAATTTACCAAGAAAGGGACCATCAGGTGAGCACTAAATGTTATTAAAGAAACAAAAACAGAAAGAAAGACTACTAATAGTGATGGTATCTATACAGTCAGCACTATAATGGCATAATGGATTTCATCTCTGAATTTGGGAATTTGTTCACTGTGCCAACAATTCAGTGTCTTCACCACAAGGAGGCAGAGTAAAGCTATGCTGGAAATGGGTCTTTTACAAATAAACAAGAAATAGCTAACCTCGAATAATGCAATGATGACATTCATTTGAAGCTAATGTAGGATAGTACAAAAGAAAAACTAAACTAAATTTTGAAATAAATGGGGATGTCCAAAATATGATATCCCGGCTTTGACATTTTATCAAAACAAGCTTAGACAGAATATAGCTATGTGAAAGTAAACTTGCTTTTACATTGCATCCACAAATCTTTCTTCAGGTACTTCTTTATGCACATGTTCTTAGCAAAATAAGTATTCTGGAATATTGAAGTGACTTCTTGCTCATATACTGAGAGGTAGTATTTTTTAATGCAGATTTTTCTCTATGTTATCACATCTGCTGTTTATAAATATGTTATTAAAACTGCTCCATACTTATAAGTATAAGACACATTTTAACAGTGTGCTCTTCACAGTTAATAATAACATACACTGTATCTTTGCTGTTGAGGAAGAAACATGTGTTTTTGCTCATACTGTATATATACCGGCAATTTGCTACACTGTCCAGGGCTGCATTTCTCAAAAGCATTGTAAGTCGAAGTAGATCATAGAACCATTGGCACCAATGGTCTCTACAATCACCTTAGCTCACAATGCTTTTGAGAAATGCAGCCCAGGTCATCAGACTATCATCACTGGAAAAACAAAATGAAAAGATTTATATGGTATTGCATAATAAAAATTATTTATTTAGCCTCATCCATCATGCCATTAATGTAAGATACAGAACAGGACGAAACTATATGTCACAATTGACATTTTTGTACTTTATACCTTGGTTGATATTTGAAGCATCATTTATACAAATAGAATAATACAACAGCATAATGATGAGGCATGTATGGCATCAGTGATTGCTTTTTAAACATGTTGGTACTGCACTTCAGTTAAGTGTCCAATGGCTTGAATGTCCATTTAAGAATGTTCATTTCAAAAGATGGTAGTGTTTATTTCATTCACTGTGTGTTCAGAATAACAATTTTACTGGAAAAAAGGGAAAGGAAGCTCAATTTGCTGTATTCCATTATTTGCATTAAGCACTTCCTCAAATTTAGTAGAAATGTGGGTAAGTAATTGACCTAAGGGGAACATAATGCCGAATATAACGAGCCCTTCAAGGTCATCTAAAGACTTCAGCAACTTCTTGTAGAAAGTGTTAAGGGGAGCAGCAACAGCTTCTAAGATGTTGGACTTGATGCTGCCCACAAATTCTTGTGCTTTATCAACAACCTCTTGGATTATCTGTCCTAGTTTCTCAAGAAAGACATCAAGGCTTTCCACTTGCTTCATCACATCTGCCACCATAGCTAGGAGACTTTTCAGCGTACTTCTCACATTTTCTTGAAACTCGGCTACAGTGATGACCTTCCCAGTGGGAAACACCATTTCAACTGTGTTGAAGTCCTCCATGATGGGAGAGAAATATACCTCCAGGTTGTTAGCAAGTTTCTCCAACATTTCTGCAATTATAGATTTGATTTTCGTGCAGATTTCAGGTAGTGTAGCTTCATCCATTCCAGGCAGTTTGTATTTGGTCTCTCTCAGGGAGTCGATGACAGCATCAATCAGGACCTGGATGCTCTTTTGGTACGAAACAACTACATTTCTGAACAGGATAGATAGCTCACTGAGCTCTGGGCTGGGCAAGAGGGCATCTGCATAGATTATTTCAACTTCTCTGAGAATCTTAAAAAGTCTTTCACGTGCAATAATGATGCCATATTTTTCAGCAAATCCTGCAACGCTGGATGAGATATCTGGTAGCCTGTTCATCAAGCCTGTGGACACATCACGTGCAGCCTGTAAATTGTAGCTGACCAAAAGTACTTTTTCATCTCCCTTTGATGCAGCTCTGATGATCAGAAGGTCAACATCATCCTGTGGTGCAGACTGCTAAAAAAACACAATGATCACAATATAGACAATCATGTAAGTACAACCAAAAAAACAGAAAGCATAAGATTCTAACATGATAAATAGCTCGGTTTGAAATAGTAACAAAAGAAATGCCACTTACTGCATAACGGCTGTAGATCCTCGCATTCATCTGGGATGGAATCATTCCTTGAAGCTGGAAGCCAAGGTGGCCAGTTGTCGGTGTGGAGACCGAGGCACTTATACCATCTCTTCTAGCAGCATAGCGAAGGTTTACATCAGTGAATGTTGGGCTGGTGATGTCCACATTCAGGGTATGGCTAGGATCACTAAGCCAGAAGTAATAATTGATAATTCAGTTTTACAAACATAATTTGTTATAAACTAAAGAATACTTGTAAGCGTAAAACAATATTTACTTTAATTCAATAAAAAGTCTGAAGTTTTTTCATTACCCCATGCGAATTACATTACTGATGTCCATAGTAAGGTCAGCATGAGTAAATACAGCAGTAGCTCCTACAACCAGGGCATCGTTCTCCATTGTAGTACTCATAGAGCCTGTTTTGTGTGAAAGCAAAAATCTGTTAATCACACCGCCCATTCTTAATTTCTTCTTAGAAAATATTAGTATCATTGAATGATACACATTTATTTATTTTATTTTTTTATTCGCAGACACTTACTATCAAGATCGTATTCCAGAAACACAACTGGTGACGTGGTTTTAGCCTTGAGAACAGCTTTGTAGTCTGGGGCACTACCATCTAGTTTAGCAACAACATCTGTGGTGTACACTGGAGAGATTATTTTTGATGTGTAATCAATTTTCTGCTTGGGTACACTGAGTTCCACTACCACCATCTCAGAGATGCTAAGGTCACCAAAGGTGCTTGGTTGAGATAAGTCAATTTTCACATCAGCCACCAGTGACTTCCGAAGATCCAGATCAACTGTGGCCTGGCCAGTATGAACTCCCTTTGTAGTAAAACCTCCGATATTTGCTTCGTTCTTGGAAGAAATTTTCAGCATAGCATAAACATGTTCAATAGCTGTCTCCACAGACAGGTTTTCATCCACATCAAATGCCACCTTTAGATCTCCATAATTCATGTTGCCATCGCCAACAGTCTTAAGAGCATATCGCAAACTATTGCCATTCATATAGATGGATTCATCATAATTCAGAGATCCCTTCACAATACCACGGTCTAGGAATGTTCCATCAATGGTACCCTTTATGAGAGTCTCAGCGGAGATAAACGTAGAAGTTCCTTCACCTTTTAAGGTGTTTTCGGCATTTCCCCTACCAACAAACTTAATAATGGGAATGTCAAAGGTGTACTCTATCGCAAAAGTGGAATCCGCTTTTGGGTGGGCCTTGTTGTCAGCAGTAAGTTGGTGGTTTGCTTTAGCTGTAAGAATAGGTAGGTTAACATTTGCAGCTGTAGTCACAGACAGTGCAGCTTCAAAGTTATCTGGGTTCATAGTTACAGTGCTTTCATGGGTTCCTTCAATGTGGTGATTTTCCAGGAGTACAGAAGTGGCTAATTTTAATCCACTTTTAGTGCTCAGGCTGCTGGTACCTACAAGCTTTGCCTTTAGTCCCTCAAACTCAGAGGCAGTAATGGCTCCAAATCGAATTACCGGGTTATCCTTCCCATAGATTCCAGCATTAGCATTAAGGCTGAATATAGAGGACTTGAAAGAAACCTCTGATTTTAAATCGCCCAGAGGAGAGACATTAATGAGGCCGAGATCAAAAATGGGTGCAGCTTTGCTCTTCTGATAGACAATCTTTGCATCGAGATCAATGACCTGGTCAAAGTTGGTCAACAGATGCTTAAGGCCAGTATGTTCATATAGGTTGATGTTGCTAATTTCTGGAGTGTCAATAATCATAGTTATGGTTGAAAACTGGATAGGTGGAATACTGAATGGGACAGTTAAGAATTCCAAATTGGCCTCTCCATTTACTGCTGTGTAAATGCCAGCCTCATCTCTGTTGTTGGCAACTGTAAAATTGTGACTGTATCTGTATTGGTTGAAGCGTGCAAGTGCCACAGTGCTCAACTTCTGCATGTCCTTATTTATGATGACAGTATAATCATTCTGGAGATCAAACTTGGCAGATTGTTCTATGAAGCTGAGCTTAGTATTACCCTTGTTCTGGAAATCAAGGACCACCTCAAAGGGATGCACTAAGATGTTGAATGCACTGGAAAAGGCACCACTGAGCAATCCATCAAACTTTGTGTCATAGTCTGCCTTCATCTCTACCTTCATTTCTCTGAGATTAGCCTTTCCAGAAGCAACCAGCAAGTAAGTGCCCTCATTAGCAGTACCACCTTCAATGCGGGCATTAAAGTCGATGTAGCTCAGGGCAACACCTTCAGCATTTATTCTCTGTTTTATTTTTGAAATTCCACTGTTGCCATCTGTAGATATGGTTAACCGGGCTGTTGTTGGAGTAATACTTATAGTTGAGATACTCTTTATGTTCATATAATCAGACGTGTCAGTCACAGATATTTGACCCCTGGCTTCTTCTTCCATGGTCAGAAGGATTTTTAAACCATCCTGCTTAAGTATGAACTCATTAGTGTACGTTTGGTCACCGTTCCATGAGAGCGCAGGAATGCGTACCTTATCAGTATATATTGTTTTAATATTTGCAGACATTCCATCCTCCAGTGCAAAGAAAGCCGTGTTTTGAATGTCAGCACTAAAGGGGCCAGCGCTTACCTTCACAGTGCTCTTGGCCGTAGCCTGGGCTGAGAAGCCATAGAGTGACACTGAGGCTTGATGGTCAACAGCTAGGATACTATGAGTGATCTTCAGGGTTTCAGCAACAATCACACGACTCATCTTAGGGATGGCAACCCGAGCTGTGGAATCCAAGCTATATTTAAGGATGTCATATTCAGATGATCCATGTGAGGCAATGAGCCCTGTGAATTGAGGGGTTTCTGCACTTTCAGTAGAGTTTAAGAATTCCATGGTAGTTCTCATGTTGAAAATTGGAATGGTGATCCTAACCTCACCATGCAGCTTTCCAAAGCAGGGCATCATGACCTCATTAGGGACTGCAGGGAGTGTGAATTCTGGGATTTTTAGATCTGAGAATTTGTGCTTAGTAATGTATTTAGGAATTTCAGGGAGGGAGATCTCTGGAAAACGTATCTCTGGCAGTGTGATGGCAGAGATGTCTGGCAGGTAGATCATTCTAAGGTCGCCAAAGATGGCATCAGCAGATGGCACTTCATAGTTGGCAATGAAGTTCAATAGGTCTAATAGTCCCTGTCTGATATCATCATACTCCATTCTGATTGGTGGCACAGTCCAATATTGCAGAATAGTAAACTCTGGAAGGTCAATTAATGTAGAAGGGAGGTTGATTTCCAGAAGCTTCTCTAAATTTATTGTTAAGGGGGGTACAACAAGGTCAGTGAGTGGAAAAGTGAAAGATGGGATCTCAAATTCAGTTGTTCTCAGTTTTGTTTTGACTCCCTCACAGATTTGCTTTAACTCATTGACAATTTCCTGATCTTCAAGGATATCTTGGATTTCTTCCATAACAGCACTGCATACGTCTGTTGCAATGGCCACTACATAAGTGTAGATACCAGTCACTTGCCTCAGGGCCTGAAGGATATCTTCTCTGATATCCATGTCCATAATTCTCTTCCTGAGGCTTTCTGTAAGTGCCTTAATGTCAATGTAGACTGTGCTATCAACAATGTCCTTGAGTTTTTTGACCACATCTGCAACTTTGACTGCTCTCAGCTCCTCAAGGCAAGCACTAAGAGATGACAGAGCATAACTGACAAATTCTCTGATTGCCTCAAGCTTTTGCCGAATCTCAAGTGACAAACTCATGGTGTAAAGATCCTTTATTAATTCCTTGATTTTTTGGTTGGCCTCATCCACAAACGCATTGTAGTCAAATGATCTAATATAGCCGATGCAATGGTTTAGGCAGTTGTTCAAATGCTCAATGATTTCCTTTACCTCTGTTGTTTTCAAGTAGGTGATGGCCTTATCCAGGAGCTCTATGACAGGGATCAGAATAGATTTCAAAGTGCTAGCAAGACCCTCAACAGTTTGTTCTATATTTAACTTTTTGATTAGCTCAACAACCTTTTTCAGAATTTCTTCAATCTTCTTGTCAAGCCCAGATTTCACCAGAAATTCTCTCATGTTGCTGTAGATGGTATTCAACCTGCTTCCTAGTACAGTAAGCAATTGTTTTGCTTTTTCAACAGTCTTGCTGATTTCCTCTGTAGGGATTTGAGCCACCAAATTGTTTGCATAGTCTCGGAAGCTGGCAGAGGTAACAAAGTTTTTCACATCCTCAATGTCAAAGTCAAAGTCAGCAAACTGTTTCAGTTCACCCACAATCTCCTCCAGTTTGGATTTAATAGCATACTGTTCCTCAAGATCTTGCAAGATGGCAATGCTACTGCCCTTCAGTCTCAATACATCAATCTGCTCAATTAAAGTTTCAATAGCCTCAATGACAGCAAAAACCATGGTTTTTACATCATATTTCTCATTGAATGCATTCAATACTTCTGTTAGTCTCTGTATTGCAGTGTCAGATAGTGTGCCACTTGCAATCATTTCCCTCACATATTTTCCTATCTCCTCTACACGAGTGTCCAGTTCAGTGAGTAGCTTCATCACAACAGGGTTTAGATTAATCAGAGAGGCCTCCAGGTCATCCAGAGTAACTCCATACTTGTCGTAGAGAGCAATCAGGTCCTCGCTGATCTTAACAATTCTCCTCTCCAGATTTAGCTCCTTCACAAAATCACTAATGTACTTGGCCAAGTACTCAATCTCTGCAATAATATCTTCTCTGTTGATATAATACTGCATGGCTTCAGCCGCCCTCAAAATTGTAATTTTCATGTGTTGCAAGTCCACAGGAAAATGCTCAATTAATGGAAGGCTGAAGACACGACTGTTAGTGTTTTTATCATATTTTAGGAAGGCTGAGAAAAAGTGGTCTTGGTTGTCGGAGTCAACTCTGTTGAAGAGGTTTGTCATCATTGATCCAGACAATTCTAATCCAAGTCTTTCAGGGGTATTGTAAGCACTCACTTCTTGGCTGAAGATATGGTTGTTAACCTTAGATTTTACTCTCACTGTTGCCTTCTGCTCAGATGGGGTCAGGACAGTGTCAATCTTATTATCAAGGTTGGTTTCAATTGATAGACCATTGTCCAGATTGTGAGTTGTTGAGACTCTGCATTCGTGCGAGTGTGCGAAAGCAAGTGGTTCTACCTTCATAAGAAATTTAGTGTAAGCTTGTGCGCTCTGTTTTCCATACAGATACAAATCACCGTCTGTATTGGCCATGGCATCAACATTGAATCTGAAGGGAACAGCAGTGGCGTGAAAGTTACCGTCAAAGCGTAGGTACTGAGAGTTGAAACGGGCATCGCTGCCGAATGTGACTGAAAGTCCAGCAACCTCGATTTCTGTGTTGTGTCTCATGTGAGATCCCATGAGTTTTCCAGTAGTACCACATTTGGCGGTGGCAACTAGATCTTCATATCTGATCTCATACGTGTGCTTCAGCTCATCTGTGCCAGAGGCAAGCTTCGAACTGCCAATCAGTTCAGCTGTGTATGGAAGTGCCTTAAACTGAGCATCATTAATCAGGATGATATCCAGAACATTCAGTTCATTATTGATTTTCACAGAAGTTCTAAATGGCTCAATCTGAAGGGAGAAATCATGCTTATATGTTCCATCATTGCTAATAGCGTTAGAGGTGAAAGCTAATGAGGACAGGGAAGCAGACAGAGAATTTGTATTTTCAATTGTTAGTTCAACAAATTTAGCCTTCGTCTCAACCGACAAGGAAAGCTTTGAAGTGTCGAGGGCTCCATTGAAGTTGTTCTCAAGTGACAAAGGCATGCGAGGGCATTTCAGTAAGGTTGTGCCACTCGTGGTCAGGCCATCCCTAGTCAATGATAGGCTGCAATTATGGGAAGCTGTGTGTTCAACCAGATATGCGGAGGCATCACCTTTTACATCCAGCCCATTGCCATCTAGTGCTGCTATAAACTGGGAACGGAGGATATTTCCAGCAGTGTCAGCACTAGAGTCAATCTTAATGTTAACCAAATCAAGACTAGCACTAGCCTCAGCTACATTTCGGATGTTCAGACCGAGAGCCTTTGCCCTTGTATCTGACTTCAGCGCAAGCTGAGACCCTTTATATGTAACTTCAGCGTCATGCATCAGTACGCCCTCAAATGCAGTTGTTTTTGATATGACAGAGAGCTCTCCATTGGCAAACGCTGCTTCAATCGTGTTCTCTGCTTGGAAATGGTCTGAGTCTACTTTCAGAAAGGAATCAATTTTCGCCTCTGGCTTGAATGGGAGTAGGATAAGTGACTGCCTGATAGCAACTTCACCATTCAGAGGACCAGCCTTGACAGAGCCCATCAGGTTTCCATCTCCAGAGATCTCATCCTCATCAAATCCAACCTGGCCTGTGTGTTCCAGAGAAATCTTCAGACCCAAGGGACTGTTTGCCTCAATCTTGCTGCTTGATTTCATCTTGATCTTTTCAGCAATTGTCATTTCCTCAAAATAAGTAACACTGGCGTCAATGAGCTTGTGATCAAGAGATGATTTAATCTCAACCCTCAAAGATTCTCTGGGTGTGCCTGCTGCTAAAGCTGATCCTAAACATAAGCAGAATAACATTCAAGTAATCAGTATTTCATTACAGATCACAGAACATGGTAAGTAAAAATATAGCTGCAAATAAAGATCATAAGTACCTTCTACTTTAAAGGAGAGGAGATCCATTGGGCTTGTTCCAATGACTTCAATCTTGGCAGAATAGCTTGGTTTCTCATCAAGTTCCCTGCCAGCTGAAGCTGTTGCCTCCATGTTGTAGAAGTTGCTGCTCAGCTTGCTGGACACCTCTGCAATTCCCATGAGAGGCAGTGACACAGTCAGACTCTCAGGAACAAAGATCTCTGGAATCCTAATAGGAGCAACCTCCAGGCCGAACTCTTGTAATACCAGGTTTGGTGTGGTCAGGGCAGCAGGGAAGTTGAAATCTCCAAGAGATTTCCCACCAAGAGGAATGGGAATAGAGATAGTGTAATAATTCTGGCCAAACTTGTATTTAGCAGCCCCCTCACTGTTAAAAAAAGAACAGAAAAAAATTATTAATGTACTTAACATTGGTATGTGTATACTTAATTCTTGTTTCTGCATTTTAAAATGATTTGTTATATGTTTAATTCACTCACGCATTCAGGAAAAGCATCTTAGGGAAAGTGAATTCTGGCAGGGCAGGAATCCTAAAGTCCTGGACATATGGGATGTCAGCAGCAAATTTTTCCAGGTAGGCATTTGAGGCCTAAATGATTATGGATAGTGTTATATTCTAATATAATTTCTATATATTCAATATTTTATGGTGGGCTTTTCCTTATTTGTATGAATTTATAGGTTTGGGGAACTAAGGATTTCATTTGAATATACCTCAACTGATTGGATCAAGACATCCCGGATCTTCATACCAGATGTTCCAGTCTGCTGGTCAAGAAGATCATTGACTGTGGCTTTGATGGCATCAATTGGAATAATGTTGTGAATCTCAGTGCTGACATTAGAATTGACCTCGGCCTCAATCTTCTCCGCATCTAAAAAGAACATGAAAATTTGTTAATATAGCAGAGGACTTCCAGTTATTTGCTGAATTTAAAGTATAAGTTTTTAATGTTTGCCTGACAGACTTAAAGTTTAAGAGAGTCTAAATAGTTGTATAGGCAGTCACATAAAAGTTACTCATTCAATTAATTAACGAATTCAATTCAAATTCTCTGAATTCATGAATGAAAGCGAGCCATTTCTAATTCAGAATTTGCTTTTATCTGAAATTATAGAGTATCTGGAGATCTTGTCATACTTTCAGTTTTAGAATGAAAGCTTGAAAATTTACCGTATTTCAGAATGACTTTCTGAATAGAAGTCGTCATCTCAGGGAGCCTAAGATCACTCTCAAGCTCTACTGTAAGGATCTCATAATTTTTAAGTTTTGCAGTTACTTTAGCATCAGTCTGAAAATGAGGAACGAGTAGCTGAACCTGCAGCATGGCATCCTTCATTGAATCTGTCCTAAAGATTGAAGAGAATTTTAAACCCTGAAGTTTATTTGTACAATGTATAATTATCAAAAATATATTGTTAGAACATATTTAATATGGACATGTACATACTTAGCCAGGGCAACAAGAGATGCCTCAGGTATGTTCTTGTTAATGAAGTCAATCTGGATGGAATGTGTGGCCCTGCTCTGAGTTTCGCGGTCAACAGCATGAACCCGAATTCCAGCTTCCAGGTCGTAGTCAGGAACTTGGAGATCAGCCGAGACGCTGTATTTCTGTCTGTCGAACATCAGTTTGGCTGAGCCCTCAAAAGATATTCCTATTATATGGAAAAAGAACAACATTTCAGTTGACGAAAATGTCTAGACATGGTATCTATTTTGTTAAACAATGCTTTACCTTCTGCCTTCAGACCAAAAGTCACTGTATCAACCTTGTTTTCATATACATAGTCGACAGTAGCTGTGTATGCAGAAACCTCGCCAGTTGGGTGGATCTCAATGGCAAATCTAAATACAGGTCAGTATTCACCTTTTAGCATTCAAAAAGACACATGAAAACAAACAAACAAACAAACAAGTATTTCCCTTACTTGCTGTCACCAGTCAAGGGGAAATAGGGAGTGGCATCACTGGAAAAGGCATTAGAATACTGCAGGGCACTGCAGTACTTAAAACCAGGGAAGAAAGGAGTGCATTTCTTTGCTTTCACATGTTCCATCATGGGTGGAATGGTCTTGGTTTCAGTACCAGTCACTGAGAACAAAGAGTTGCTGTGCAGAGAAAATAGAATTCAGAATTTCTATAATGTATCTTTAGAGCAATATGACACTTTTCTGTGTTAACAGAAACGTCTTACGTCACACTGATGAGTGTTGTTGGAGCTTGGGGTGTGGGAATGGTCAGCTTGAACTGCTTGTTGGTTACAGCAACCTTTACACTCAGACCGCTCTCATGGTAGATGTTAGTATGCATCTCCAGGCCAGACTCGACATATTCAGGTAAGAGAGCCCCAACTTCAGTCACAAACTCAACTCCAGCAGATGGCATGAAAGCCATCTCGCTCTGTGTGAATAGACAAGAAATGGGTTAATTAGGTATAGCTTGTAAAACTCTAGTTTAAATAAAAAAAGTTAGAACCATACCATGTCACGGGCCATTTTCAGTCCTCCCTTCATTCCTGGAGTAAAAGTACCAGATAGGGCAATTCTTAATGGAACTCCGGTACCAGTAGGTAGATAAAACTCATTGTCCATGAAGACGTAGTGAAGGAAAAGGTTGTTGTTTACACTTGAGAAAAGGGTCCTTATGAACTGTAAAACAAATCATTAATTTGTTTATATATATATATATATATATATATATATATATACCCGCAAACTCAACAGTGGCGAAAAAGGTGACATGTCTCCCGGGTGGGGGGTGGTGGGGGGTCCTATCAGGTACAGCACATAGCAAATTGTATGTACTGTACCATGTACGGGAGGGGGAATTTTTTGGAGGTGTAAATATATTTATTCTGAACCAATATTTTCAGATTTTACATAGGCTACTTAAATCTTCATATTTGTGATATTTACCCCAGAGTGTTATTTATTTTTATAAAGAGAACTTTTATTACCTTATTAAATGTATGCATCATCTTTCATGTCAAATTCTTACATTTAATCAATAAATTCAGTTATAATAATAAGACACTATAGGGCTGTTACCCATCAAATTAAATAATTCGCACTGCAAAATTACAACTGCAATAAATAATTTTATAAGATTGATGTTTTAAATAAATGTTTGAATATACACATAAAAAAATTCAATACTTAAACATGAAACTAAACCGCCAATATTTGGCGGCAAGTGACCGTGTTAATGAGTGAGTCATTGGGCCCTATTTTAACGATCTGAAACGCAAGTGTCAAAGCGCAAAGCGCAAGTAACTTTGTGGGCGGATCCCGGCGCTGTTGCTATTTTCCCGGCGGGATAAATGCCTCTTGCGCCTGGCGCAAATCTAAAAGGGGTTGGTCTGAAGTAGCTTCATTATTCATAGGTGTGGTTTGGGCGTAAAGTGAAATAAACCAATCAGAGCGTCATCTCACATTCCCTTTAAGAGCTGGTGCGCATGTTGCATGGCGGATTGCTATTATAACGGCATTTACCAGGCGTGCGCCAGGAGCGGTTCACAGCCGAGGAGACCGACGTTCTTGTCAGGACCGTGAAAGACAGAGAAGTGACGTTGTATGGGGATTGGAGAAACCCACCCAAATCAGCGTCGGTTAAACAGGCGTGGGAGGAAAAAAACTAAATTTTTTACATCTTCATGGACACCCCAATGATTTCCCTCATGTGTAGGCCTAAATATTTTTCCTTGTTATAATGTATGATTTGCAAAAATAAAAACTGCTGCATCTGTGTTGATAAGAGAATCAAAGTGTATATGCGCGTTGTGCACCCGCTACATTATGGCCAAGCATGCGCGCTTAAAATAGCATACGCGCAATGCGCCACTGACTTTAGACTAGGTTTTTTTCTGGTCAGTGGCACAATTGTTTTATAGAACAGCAAAATAGCATGAGGGAAAGTTTGCGCCGGAACACGCCTCCTCTTTGCGCTGAACCGCCCCGGGGAGCGCAAGTGTATTTCTTAGTTAACCGACGTGTGTCTACCCAGCTAGCAGGGAACGTTCTCAGAACTTTGGCTAACATTCCCTACAAGTTTGGTTAATGTTTTAAAGAAAACATTTGAATGTAATGTTCAAAGAATGTTTTAAGGATGTTTTCTCATTTCAAATAATGTTCCTATAACGTTAAATGTAAACTAAGATATAACGTTTTAACTGTAACATTTTGAGGATGTTTTGGGAATGTTGTTGAGATAACAGATTATACAATGTTCTCAATAAAACATTGGTACAATGTTCCATAATAACAGAGGAGGAACATTATCAAATCAACGTTCGTAAAATGTTTTGAGGATATTATTGAGGCCTGAGATGATGGAGTGTTTTTTATAAAACGTTCTTGTAATGTGACATGTTAACACAACTAGAACATTTTAACTGTAACATTTTGAGGATGTTTTGGGAATGTTGTTGAGATAACAGATCATACAATGTTGTCAATAAAACATTGGTACAATGTTCCATAATAACAGAGGAGGAACATTATCAAATCAACGTTCGTAAAATGTTTTGAGGATATTATTGAGGCCTGAGATGATGGAGTGTTTTTTATAAAACGTTCTTGTAATGTGACATGTTAACACAACTAGAACATTATAACTGTAACATTTTGAGGATGTTTTGGGAATGTTGTTGAGATAACAGATCATACAATGTTCTCAATAAAACATTGGTACAATGTTCCATAATAACAGAGGAGGAACATTATCAAATCAACGTTCGTAAAATGTTGAGGATATTATTTAGTCCTGTGATGATAAAATATTTTTAATAAAACATTCCTTTCAAATGACTTTTTAACAAAAGTAGAACATTTTGCATGAAACATTTGTAGGATTTTTTAGGGATGTTGTTATCTTTTATAAATCATTGGCACAAAAACAAAGGAGGAACATTATCAAAGCAACATTCATCAAATGTTTTGAGGACATTATTGGCCTGCGATGACAAAATCTCATAATATGATGTGTTAATAAAATCTCATAATATGATGTGTTAATAAAAGCTCATAACATTTTAAGGATATTTTAGGGAAGCTGTTTAGGTAACAGATTGTAGAATTCTCTTAACCCATAAAATATTAGCATAATGTTCCATAAAAGAGGAACATTATCAAAACAGCATTCGTTAAGTGTTTTGAGGATATTACTCTGAACTGTGTGAACTGTTGCGCGAAATGTGTTTACAAGAGACGAGAAGCTGATTGGTGACCACTGTAGATTGACGTTTAAAACCACCAATCACAACGTGATTTTCCCTTGACGTAAGAACATTTGAAATCGACAAACAGCGCGAAGAAAGTAACGTTTTTGTTGAAGAAATCGGCGCAAAATGTCCGTTGTCTAAATTGGCTATTTGACACATTGGCCCAAACAACAGAACTCCTGGTCAACGGAACAGAACTCTATCACAACGGTAAGTTTTTTTGTGTGTATTTTTCAGTTTACATAGCTTTCTCTTATCCTTGATATCAATGTCTTTCAGTGTTAGACCTTACTTTCTTAGAATTGTATGACAGTCGCATAAAATCTGAGTGTATGTTACTTTTGAATAACAGCTAACAGTTAGATTTGTTTTAATCCAGACTCCAAACTCCCTGTTTGAAGATGAATATAGCTAACACAGTAAACACAGTAAACACAATAAACTCTCCATTTAGGCTACAACAAAGGTACGAATACTTTTTTGCTACTTAAAAGTGTTAATCTTAATATGTCATTTGAAAGTAAAAGTTGTTAATATTTCAGTAATTCATAAAGAGGAAATGGGAAAATTGGAAAGAGCATTCAGTCTAAAACGTTTTCAGTCTTTTGTGTTTTCTAGCAAATATTGTATGTGCTTGTAATATCGTTGTATGTTGACCGACCATGTTTTAAAATATTTCAGGTAATTACTCTGGTGCTGATGGTCAATGTAAAGGACACAATCTGGCAAATATTGAAGCAAACATAAACCTGCAGAGGTGAATGGATATGGGAGCTGAAGAGCCTTGCAACTGGTAAGTGGTTTTGTAACTTTTGTTGTAAATCTTCATAGAATTACCTCTATATTATAGTACAGATTATAGTAATCTTGTTCAAATGTTAGGAAATAATTATGTTGGTTTAGGAAAGCCAACATATTGTTAACCTATTTAAACTAAATATTATTATTCTGATTTCTGAGACAAAAATGTTCAACTCTTAACTCCTAGAGCTTTAGTGCTAAAAGCACCTAACACAGACCATAAAAGATCTCATCCAAAAATGAGAATTAGCCCATGATTTACTCACCCTCAAGTCATCCTTGGTGTATATGACATTCTTCTTTTTCAGAATACAATCGGAGTTATATAAAGAAATGTCCTGGCTCTTCCGAGCATTATAATGGCAGTGAATGGCCGTTTCTGTTTTAAGTCTATCATGCTCATGCATCCATCCATGATAAAAGTAATCCACACGGCTCTGGCGGGGTTATAAAGGCCTTTTGAAGCGAAGCGATGCGTTTGTGTAAGAAAAATATCCATATTTAAAACTTTATTGACTAAAATAACAGCTTCACTACTAATAGCAAAGAGACGCTGCACTTACAGGTATGATTAATTCACTCTAGAAATTGTTCTATCACCAATGCATTCAAATGCAGTGCTACTTTATCTGTATCTGATTTAAAACAAGCAGAATTGTAACGTAACGAAATGTAACGATCCATAGACAATATAACTGATGAAAATGAGCTTTAAGTCAGAGCAATAGCCCAGTGGGCAACGAGCGCTGTGATGCTGGAGCTGTGCTCAGGGCGACCTGAGTTCCAGTCTTGGTTCGAGGTTCAGGCTTCTCAAGCCAACATCAAAGTTTGTTCACATAATTTAGCCTTTAGTTGTGTTATTAACATGTATATAATGGATTAAGTATATGTTTTAAATTACAGAAAAAAAAGATACTCATAAGGTATCATATTTATACTTTAAATAAATTAGTCTTTACATAATTTCTGATTACTAATTAGGCTGGCTAATTTTGAAAGTTGTCAATGTCAATATTGCTTGTGATCTTAATATGTATGTATTTGTATTAGGGCTGCACGATGTATCATTTTAACATCGATATCGCGATGTGCGCATCCACGATAGTCACATCGCAGATATGTACGATGTCAAGTATGGATCGTAGTTGATGGTGATTCATGATCAGTAGGCAACGTGCCAGCAGCTCTCCGGCCCGTAACGCTTGTGATTCGTGGATTAATTGCAAAGTTCAACCATCATAGTGTGAGAGTTTATCAATTTGCAAGTCCTGTCAGTTTAAACATAAAGCGCAAGAAGACTGGAACTTGCGCGCTGTTTTCTGTCAGCCTCTAAAGCGTATTTTTGTCCCGCCAAAGTTTGACCGGTGACTGATGTAAAGACTGACTGCTGCGCTTGTTTAACTGAGAGAGCGAGCAGAGAGAGTGAAAGCCCCGGTCGCGCGCGCGCACTCTCACCGTCTTCAAACTGTCTTTCTCGCTCTCCCTCCCTCGCGCATATTAATGAATTGAGTTGAGTTGACTCAGTGATGGATTTCATCCAGTGATGAAATGTTTTCTGTGTTGACAAATCTTGTGCGATGTGGTCCGTTAATGACACGTCCGATTCGCGAACTAATGACTCATTTGAACCGATTCACTTTAATGAATGGTTAAAACAACTGATCTGTCCAACACTGAACTCAAGAGACATAAATCAGAAACACTTTACAATAAGGTTCCATTTATTAAAGTCTAGTTAACTACATTAGTTAACATACTATTAATATTAGTTTCTATGCAGATTTACTCCATGACAAAACCACCCAAGTCATTCTAGAATTATTCATTCTTTCCAAATAGAGCTATTTAAGTAATCTGGTGAAATTGTTTTTATATCGCAATATATATCGCAGAAAAATAAAATATCGCAATGTGATTTTTTACCAATATCGTGCAGCCCTAATTTGTATTCTTTCTGTTTACACTGTTGCATGATCTTCTTGTATAGGCTATGAGGAAAAACTACCATGCACACAGAGAACAGAGCTCAATGCTGCTAACTGGGCGAGCAGCGACAACTAGAAGAGAAGAACAGTAGAACACCTAATCTTAATACAGATAACTGGATTACTCTTCTGAAGAACCAAGACAAGCAAAGACTGATGATGAGCGCTCTGAGCAAACACAGCAGTCAAGATGCATGAGTGACTTTACTGAGTTCTTCATGTAATGTTGGGCATTTACTGTACGCAGAACTTCTAATAATTTATGTGGATGCCATTTATAAACCTGTTAGATTTTGATGTTTTAATTTTGAGATTAATAAAATTGTATGTTTTAACAATGTTATAGCTAAGCATTTTTTTTGTTTAAGACAACATTTTGGGAACAAAAATAAAACTTCCCGCTAAAAACTTTATAAGAATGTTAGGGGATGTAATGTTCTAAAAATGTTATGATTAAACCTTTATAGAAGGTCATCACAAAACATTTTTAGAGTGTTCTTAGAGAATGTTATGCCATATTTTAAGAGATCATTCTGGGAACAAAAAGAAACTATGCCCGCTGAAAATGTTATAAGAACATTAGGGAATAATGTTCTAACAATGTTAGCATTAAACATTTTTAGAATGTTTTTAAAGAATGTTATTAGAACTTTTAAGAGAACATTCTCGGAACAAAAAGAAAACTACCCGCTGAAAATGTTATACGAACATTAGGGAATAATGTTCTAACAATGTTAGCATTAAACATTTTTAGAATGTTTTTAAAGAATGTTATTAGAACTTTTAGGAGAACATTCTGGGAACAAAAAGAAAACTACCCGCTGAAAACATTATTAGAACAATGCATGGTAATGTTCTCAGAACATTTTTAGAACAAAAAAATTCTAGCTGGGTATGCGTCAGTGTACAAAGTCATTTGCGCCGGGTGCAAGATATAGCGCCCATTGAGTCATTCATACAAAAGATTCGTTCAAAACGCTGAATCATTCAGTAAAACACCGCGCTGCGGTTGCTTTCCTTCGGAACTATTTTCGTCGGTGAAATAGAACAAAAACAGTTAATATTGTTTGTGTCTAAAATGTAAGTAGCTTAATAATAAATATGAACTACGCTACTTGTTTATTGAACTATAAATTCAACGTAACATTTTCAATCGTGATAATAATATTCAGCAAAACAGCTCCATTAGTTGTGTCATGTTAAACTAAATCATATGTTATAAATAAAGAAACATCCATTTGAATTTTTACTTTTCTTTTCTGAGTTTTCTGTTTGCTGTTTCACTCATTTGTTTTGATTTCTCCACGAATGTATGTAACTTAGGCTACCTCTAACAAAGAGCCTCAACGCGACGTTGTTAGCAGAAATAACGTTAGGCCTAACGTTACACTACCCATTATTATCAACCGCTGTTTACATTGAATGTTATAAAATCACAATCATTCTTGCGTTTCGATGCTTTCCTGGTTATTCTTTTGTCACTAAAATTAAGCTACTTGTCCGGTCGGGCAAGTAAAAATATCTTTCTCTTGCCCCTTCTAAAATTCCACTTGTCCCGGACAAGCGTTAATGTCGAGCCCTGAGTTAATTCATGTTTTTTTTTTTTTTTCGTGCTGTAAAGCGGAACAGGTGATCGGTTCACAGCGATCTGAATGACTGTCACGCATCATTAGAGCGCCACAAAGATCACAACAGCTCGAAAGACGTCTATGCTCTCACTCCAGTTTAATTAGCACATTCCAAATTATTATTCTGAAGTTTACCTACCCCAATAAATAACCTCATTGGATCTACACGATTCACACATGACATATTTTGATTCAAAATGGCGTGTTTTAGAGCATGGCAGATTTGCTAAGCACTAATATTTGTTTTAAAGCAGTGCACTTACATCAGTAGGGAACATATTTAAGAGTCTATCAGTCAGAAAAGTAGCAGAGTTGGCCATGTTTTCCATATCCTTGGTTTTGAGATAACCCAGTTCAGCACCAAGAAGCCTCAGGTAGATCATAGCCTCTGGATTATCCTGAACCTTCAGTTTCTGGATAAGCTTGTTCACATTATTGCTTATTTCCTTGATGATGTTCTCGGGGACCTAGAGTGAGAAGGGTACATGAGTGATACACCAAAACAAAGAGAATGACATCAATGTTGCAAAATGTGGAAATTCATTCATCGATTTGAAAGACCTTTTGTGTCTTTATGTTATTCCATAGGCTTGGGAACATGCGCTGCATAATGTCATTGCCACTGAACACGCTGTCAGCTGCATAGTTAATGGTCTTCTGCATGGTGTCACGGAAGAATCCATCAATACCAATCAGGGCATCAACAGTGGGTTCCAGTCCCTTACCATTCAATCCAATCTGTAAGTAAGAACAACAAATAATTTAGTTATTTTCATTTATTAATTTAGATTATTTAAAATAATCGAGTAAAACGAGGGGGAAATTTAAGAATGCAGAATAATCCTGTACCTCAAACATGTCTATGTCATTTCCGAAAGCATTCATGGTCATCTCCAGGATGACTTCATTGGGCAGAAGTTCTTCAGACTCGAAGATCACATTTCCCTCTAGAGATCCAATCTTGTAATTGCGAGAGTATTTAGTTGGATCTGTGACAGATCTGATCTCGTTTCCTTGGAGGGCATTTAGAATCTTTTCTCTAAGTCTGAGAAGCAAAAGAGAAATTAGAAACAGTTTTTGTACTCAAAATGTTAAAATGCATAAAGAGTTCTACTAACTCCTTAGTCTCTGGTGCTGTGGAGCTCAGGATGTTGCTGATATGAGAGTTAACAAAGCTCATAGCCTGACAGTTTTCACTTTTAGGCAGAGCAGCAACCAGCTGAGCCAGTTCAGAGGGCTGAGGGTCCTTCATCACAATGAGATAGGCAGCAATACGCTTCGGTATCGGAGCAGCAGCATCAAAAATGACCTTCATTAGCACCTCTCTGCCCTGTTAGAAATATAGCAAGTTTAATGTTAGCCAGACATAATTTTTTTAGAATTACTTTATATTTACTTATTACATTTATTATTATATTTAGTATGTTTAATTGTTTCAATTAGTTAATATATCAGGTTTACCTCGTCAGGGACAGAAGTGAGTCTAAAAGCTTGAATAGCAGCTTGCTGGACCTCAGGGGATGCAGCAGGTTGGTTTACGCATTGGATAAACGCTGATTTCAGAGCAGGGCTTGCGGCTCCGACGGCAACAGCCATGTTTCCAATGATCTACAAGATTTCAAGTACAGATTTCTATATCCACATATCAGCTGTTTTTAATTTGGTGAAGCATGCTTAATGGAATAGGTTGAACATACCCTCAGGGACAAGTACACATGTTCCTGGTTCCCTGAGCAGTCGCCAATCTGTTCAAGGGCATAATCAGCGACTGCCTGGATCTCTGGGGTGACACTTCCTTCAACTTTATAGAGCCTTGGATAAGACAGATGAATGAAAGTTTCAATTCACAGATAGATCAAACAACATGATTATTGTTGAGTTGTCCTTGTTTTCTCACCTCCTGACAGCATTGCTGAGGCCATAGTAAATGGGCTTACTAGCCTTGAACTTGGCCATCTCTAGGATTTCCTTGACAAGGTCTCCAGATGGGTTGGGCACCATTCCCATGGCATACACTGCAGCATCAATTTCTACTGAGGAACTGTCAAAGGTCCTGAGAACCCGCAAGATGGCGCTGGTGCATTCTGGTGTGCCACACTGGAACAACGCCTGGTACACCAAGGGGCGAGAAATCTCCAGGGCCTCAGGTAGACCAGCGCTCAGGCTTTCAGCATTCATTTTGCGCACTGTAGCGATAAGCTTGTGAGCCAGGTGGGCTCTGTTATGTCCTTTGTTGGTCTCAGAAAGGCCAGCCAGTTCCCTTAGAACAGACAGCATGGCCTCTTTATCCTGAATCGGATGGACTGTGCCAATGCTGCCGTCGAGGTGCAGGGTCTTCATGTTGGCTACATCTATAGATGGGTAAACCAAGAGAACAGGATTACTTCTGCTCACTCTAAAGGCATGCTAATTTAAGTGTCTGAATGACTGCTTACCATGTTCAAAGATTCTGTCGTTGTGCACAGACACTCCCACCAGAGTCAAGACTTGCTTTCCTACATTAGTAACTCCATACTGTCCTCTGTTGATAATCATAATGAATTAGCAGAGCAATAAAACAAAAGATCAGTCAAAAATTGAAAACACATGTAGTTGTTAATGAACTCACTTGTAAGAAAAAGGCACAAGCATGTGGTTTTCAGTGCAGGAAGCAGATGTCATATGCTTCTGTGCATTATCAAACTTGTAGTTGCAGGTCTGGCTGCTCCTGATGAGCTGAGCAAGTGGGTAGTGCTGTGTGATGAAAAAGAAAGCAAGTTAACATTATTGAAACCATCAGATACCCAGCACACAGTAATTTTGTCTTATTCAAAGACTGGATGACTTACCATGCCTGTGATAAGGGCCAGGGGACTAGTGTGGTCCTTGACAGGCCTGAAATTGTCACATTTAGACAATTCTCTGTTGAGGGTGACATCAGTGGCAATGTCCTCTCTTGCGTTCACGGAGTAGCCCGTCTTGCACACACCGTAGATGGTGGGCTGGTTTTGGGGAAAAGTTGTAATGGATTAGTAAATGTATATCAATCTTTTAACAAATGTAAACTTTTTTTTGATCTTTCAGAGTTAATGACTGACCATTCTCCTGTTTCTGTCCTCCTCCAGCACAGGCACTGCAAGGGCAGAGATTAGACCCCTTTTGATGTTTAAAATGTTGACTGGTTCATCATCCTCTGGAAACAACTTGATGTCATCGTCTCCCTCAACGGTGAACTTCAGTGGGTTCCTGAGAATTGAGAGGTCAGTGTTTATTTAACACGATCAGTTTCTTCTTATCTGCTCGGTGTAGAGTGCCTTGATAAACATACTTCTCCATGGCAGCCTTGAAAGCATCTGCACCAGCAGATGGCCCAAAGATAGGACTTCCTTTAGCATCAACATCGATCGCCTCACTCAATTTGCACTCTGTGGTGCGCACGATGTAGCTACATGTGCGAGGGACCTCAATCTCAACCTGTTTAAAAGAGAATATGTATGAAATTTTAAGTTTTATACAAAATAAAAATAAGAAAAAATTATATAAATATTGACAGCGTCGACATTTATACCTTGCAACTGGCCTTGGGACCATTGATTGCTCCATTCAGGGAATTTAGAGACTCTGTTTCGTAGGTGTATTCATACTTGTGAAAGCTCTTGTACCTTTTGGCCACTAGGGGAGCACAAGTCACATCTTAAACATCAAGGACAGAACTACATGACTCACAACATTAGATTGCTTTTCTTAAAGGTCCCCTGACATGGGGTTATTTTATTATTTTATTATGTTTCCTGGGTTGCCCTTATAATGTTAGTATGTTTTTTAGATCAAAAATAGTCATAATTTAGAAATAAAAGGCATTTTTCCTAGCCTGATTTTAGCCTCTGGTTTGAACGCTCTGTTTGAAGGGGCGTGTCTGCTGTGAGTCTTCAGTGTAACCGGCCACTGCTGTGATTGGCTGACATGCTTGCATATGAAATAGCTACATATTACATGTGAAACTCTCTCGAATACTTTTACTACAGCTATTATACATTTTTACTATTACAGCTATCAAGATTAACGAATCGTGAGAAGTTTTTAATGTATTTAGATCTATTCCCATTTCCCATCACATAAAATGTTGCCGTGATGAGCATTGAGCAAGCAGATGACAGTCTGTTGATCGCGAGAATGAAGATTGTCATTGCAATGCAGTTTCTGCTCTTTCTCTAATGCTTTCACCAATGCAAAAACGATGATGTACATACAGTAAGAGCTTCGTTGTGCAGTGTAACGTGCGTCATTGATTTCATAACGAGTTGTTCAGATAAACTCGCGCTGTGTAGAAAGATTGATCTTTGATCGCTTTCTGGATAATTTGTTCACAATTTAAATAAGATTATTTTCATCCTACTAAAAGAAACTATGTGAAGTTGATATTTTAGTCACTGGCTTGACTGATGCATAAACAGTATCGAACGATTTTGAGAGAAATATTACCTGTCTGAACTTGAACAATTAGGCTACAGATCAGAAATTGTTGCTTGCTTGGTAGCATTAGCTCGATCGATTTATTTTCAGACGTTCATCGAGGCCAGCTCTGTATTGGCCCAAGTTGAGGAAACAGTCGTCGGTGAAATGTTTGGACCATACAAAACAGTGTCGGCGCATTTCCAGAGAAAATAAAATGAAACCATTGTTTCTTCAGAGGCTCGGATGAAGGAACTAAAAAATACTTTTGTGTTCATTTGTACATCCGAACACTGATCAACTGCCATGCTTCGCTCGTTTGCAAGCCATGATATCTCTCGAGGAAAAACTCAAATCGCGCTCGCGCGTTCGTACTTCCTAGCTCATTTTCTCATGGGCGGGCGAGCCAAATTCTCTGGGCGGGCAAAGCAGAGAAAAGGGAGGTTACCTTTCCTCCGTATGACATCATACGGAGGAGATTCAAGATCAGCCCGCCTGAGCTTTCGTTTTCTCAATGGCAGAGAAAGATAGCCAAAAGCTTGGTTTACACCGATTGAAATTTCTAGCCACTGGAGGACCATATACAGGCTGGGGGAACTCATATTAATGTTAAAAACCTCAGAGAGTGAAATTTTATATGTCAGGGGACCTTTAAATGAAGTGATAAATTATAAAGAAAATGAACAGATTCTACTGTTACAGTAACTCAAAACCTAAAGATGATGGTTTTCTTATTTGTTTTTTTTTTCCTGATAAAGAGCACTAGATAATATATACTGTATATAATTTCTTATAGACCATTTAAAAATTTTAATAGTTTAGCACTTACAAAGGCATGGAAATTCCTCGTCTTGAGCATCTAAAGTGAAAAACAACCAGTATTATATTATATTACCAGTATTGAGTATTATACAAACAAAAAATTACCATTACCATATAATATTGTTCAATTTTATTCATTAAAGGGATAGTAGACACAAAAATCACTCTCACCCTCAAGTTGTTCCAAACACACACAAAAGATATTTTGAAGAATGTCAGTAACCAAACAGGTTACCCATATTCGTCAAAATATCCTCTTTTGTCTTCACTTGAGGGTAAGTAAATGATGACAAAATGTTCATTTTTGGGTGAATTATCCTTTTAACAACAATAGATAAATATATTCAAAAACACCAAAAAACGAATAAATTCAAGACAGCAACAGAAACACTTTTTTGTTTTATAGTTATCATCTATGATTTTTTGTTTAATACTGACATACAAACATATTTTATATCATTTTCCGTTGTATAAAAACAAATGAGTATGATTAGAACTGAAACATAAAACATACTTTTATATAATAAAATATTTATTTTATTTAACCTTTATTTAACCAGGAGAGGCGTTTAAGAATGAATTCTTATTTACAACAACAGCCTGGCAAATATATTATAAAAAAAGTATATTATCAAACAAATAGCCACCAGTCACAAATCCTCAGTAGTACTTACTTGCCACAGCTATTGCACACAGAAGCAGCAAAAGGCAGAGCTTATTGTCCCCCATGATGGGTTCAGTTAAGCTCTTTCCTTAAGACCGTTGTGAATTCAGATGGAATCTGCTGTATTTCTGCTGTCTAAGACCTTATATATTAAGGCAGGTCCTGCAGGAATGGGAGGAGAGATGGCAGTTTTGAAAAAAGTGAAGTCCCCACTCCAAAGTTCATCTTGTGCCTCTGTGGCAGGACAAAGGCAACTGTTTCATGTAATGCCAATGGTCTTTCAAATAGAGAGAAAATGCTTTTTTCAAGGAAAACTTGCTTAGCTTGGTCTGTTTGATTCATTCATTTAGCACTTTCCTCTGCGCCGTGTAACCTCTTATTGATATACAGAGAAAATTGATTTATTTAATTAATCTACTCTTTTTTCCGCAATTTGATGTATTTACTAAAGAAGTCATTACATGACTGAAGTTTGAATTTGTAAAAAAAATATAAATATACATAAATTCTAATCTACCTTTTAAATATGTAGCATCTCAACAACTTCCGTACGGCTGCTCTTGCAATAACGCGATGGCAGAAGCCTGTCCTTCATGCCTTCTTTACTAATGACATTAATCACCAAAAGCAGCCTAGGTCAAATTACTAATCTTAGACCCACATTTGACTATACATTTTATTTTGACATCCTTTGCCGAGGGTATTGCCAATCAGACAACGACTAAACTGATATAGATACTGAAATAAATGATTAAACCTTCTGCCCTTTTGTCCTGTTTACTTTATTTACTAACCTCTTATTTTGTTGTGGGTACATACTAATCAAAATTGTCTTCTTGGATACACAAAACGTTCCAAGGCCTTCAGTTGTTAATTGATGGAAAGCAGAATATACTGCAACTGGTCCCTAAACATCCTTATAATCATCACGAGGAAGATATTGAGAACATTTATATGTTTTTCCCTGTGATGTTATGTATTGATTGCTGAAAGGCGTGTGGTCTCAAAATTCATTCAAAATTTGTGTTTTTGGATAAATGCATTGCATTCACTTATGTTTGTAAAGGACAGCTTGTAAGACAAGAATGTCATATCTTCCAAAAAGAAATGCTATCCTCATTTTTGGTGTTACATGTAATCAGATTCCAAAAATTAAGTAGGCCTACTTGTAATTATATTATATTATAAATACTCAGATAAGCAATGATAAGTAATCAGACTGCAGTTCATTTTATATTGATTACATGATTACATGTTATTCTTACAATGGCAATAAATTATTTAGAATTCATCGATTCTCCTTATTACTACTTTTTTATCTTTTAAAACCTTTCTGAAAAAAGCCTATACTACGTTCAGAAGGTCTTCCAGGTTTGTGGAATTGCACACACAGACCAGGCACTAGTCATGTGCCTAAAACTGAGACCCACACAGCATTTGATCACTGGACTTAAAGTGTTTTCTCAAAACTGCAACTTTGCAATCCTGCAACCGTTCAAACAATTCACTGCATTTCATATGCAATGCATGGATCGCCCAACTTTTTTGTCAGCTGAACCACTTTGTCCTAATATATTTACTTGGAGTAACCCCTGAGATTTTAAGTTAATAAGTTAGGTCAATAATAAAATTATTTATGGGTCACTTCACCCATTTGCATTAAGGTTTGTATTGTTAGAAACCCAGTCATATATTATAATGATGGTGGAATTTTGCTTGTTTTTTTTCTGAGATGGGAGAAAAAAGGATTTAAGTGTTTTACTTCCGTCCTATCGTGACGTAAATATCGTCATTTTGCGTCACGATAGGACGGAAGATAAATTTCATTGCATATTAAGAAAACTACAGCCTTTAGCTCATTATTATTCAAGGGCGTGGGACCCACTCACCCCACCGGCCTATTACAGATCAGTGGGTGGGACTAAACCTGAAGAAACTAAACTATTAATCCGCCATCTTGCTTGGAAGACAGCAAGCTAAGCTAACAAGCGCTCAAGGAGTTAGATTTACCATAATGCCTGAATTTACGACACACGATATGGAAGACGAGGATTTTGAAAATCTTTTGCTCGAAACTGATGTTGGTGGCTATTTATACGAGCCACAATATAGCGAAGAGCAGCTGAGGCTGATGGAGGAACAAGAGGCGGCGTCGTCGGCTGCGTCGGGTTCGTTGTTATGGGAAGAATGAGACGGGAATCGGCGAACATTTAAACATTTTAATAGTAAAATAAACAAATACAAAACAAAAGTATAAGCCAGCAGCCCCGCACTGCTGGCCACACACAACAGAAACAAAACACACCATAAAATCAGGCCTGTTCCTCTCTCGATCTGCCCTGTCGCTCCTCGTTTTATGCGTCCGCTCCTCGGTGAGAGACGCGAGAGAGACCAGTGCGTCTCACAGGTGTCGTTCATTATCACTCACGCCACCGGCCTCGCGCCGCTCTCACGTCCCTCGTCCTGCTCGCCACAGTCAACTAACTATACTTTTTGTGTGAAATTAATTTCTAACTCTGTTGGCAGCTAACGTTAGCCCTGTAGAGTAGACGGAAGAGTGATTTCTCTGATGTTTGCGACTTTGCGCTGTTCTGGATTAGTGGGAGTGGCTTGCGGAGCTGTGCAACGTGGTGCATTCTGGGAGTTGTGGTCTTACACACAAATGCGCCCTAAAGTTATTTTCTGTCTTTTCTCGGTCAAGAGGGCACCAAATTCAAAAATTCTTTTACATTTCGACTACATATATGACCCACTTTCAATAAAGATTAATGTTGAAATGGGTGAAGTCCTCCTTTAATGATAGTAATACTACTACTACTACTACTACTAATAAAAAAAAAAACTTAAAGGAGCATTGCGGAGGTTCAGAAATTTCTTACCGTTACTGACACCAGTGGCCGTTAGAGAAACTGCAGCCAGTCTCATGCTCGTTCTCGGTGCGCACGCTCGTTGGCCGCACTAGATAAGGCTTTTTTTTTTTTTACTTACGAGGAGTTTCCGTGGGTATCTGGATTGTGCTGGAGGCTGCCGCTTCTTTCCGTCTGCAGAGTCCATTTGAAACACTACTGCTAGCGATTGCCGCTGCTTACTAATGGCTGCCTTACGGATGTAAGCCCAAGTAGACGAGAACGCGCATGACGACACATTTTGTGAATTTTCACGCCAATTCGGACCCGACTCCTCCACACACAATTGAGCCTACAGGCTGATAGAGGCAACCGTGGTGGACAGTCATTGTGTCATTCTTTCTATTACATTATGGTTGGCTCATAAATGTACAAATGAAGACTCTATCTTAAAGATTTTTTTAAGTAAAAACCTACACATAGCCCCTTTAAGAAGTTTAACTTTCTCTGATGTTGGTTAATCGTCACATGCAAAAAGGCAGAGCCTAAAATTAACACTCGTCAAAGGCCAATTTGTCAGACGCAAATTGTATTAAACGCCATAAAGTGTGTATCATATGCACGCGAAAACTGCATATCATATGCACGCAAAAACTTTTTTTGCCGTTTAAATGGCATGAGAAATAACATTCGTTGTATAGATACGCACTTTCATGAGATCGGGCTTCCTACTTTTAATGTTAATCAAAGGACAAAGATAAAAATCACTTACTGCTCTTGACAGAATAACTTTTGTAACTTTAATAAGAATTAATCTGTTTAATGTATATAGTGAAGACTATCCAGTGTTATTTTACATTTGGACTTTATTAAATGTCTCTATGGAAATACTGTTACTTGTCTTTAATAAGGTTTTAAATTTATATTAGTTAGGCTAGTAATTTTAGCTGTGGTATCGAAATTAGAATAGAGAATTGTTTCACTGGTATCTAAAATGTTGGTGTCATAATTGCCTGTCATAATTGTTTCATGGGTGGTAAAAATTATTTATGGCCGGTAAAGTTTCTTGAGTCACCGGCCATGTGCAAGTGTGGCAAAAAGTAAGTTTAAGGCTCTGATAAATATATACATTTAAATCTTTTTAGTAAGTGTTTTCTTTGTACTTGTTTTTAATTTAAAAAAAAATGTTTTAAATGTTTATTATTTAATTACTTCCTTCATGAACCCCAGTCTGGAAAACCCTGATGTAATGTAATATTTAATGCACTTCATGTTGTTGATACCAAAAAATGGAATATACTTTCTTTCACTTTGTATTTTTAAATCGATATGGTACAAGATTATCATTCAAATCAAAGTGATAAACAAGTAAGGTCAAAAGTAATCTAAACGTAATGAAAAAGTAGTCTGATTATATTACCTTAAATGTGCAATGTAATGGATTATGTAACGAACTACATTTTTTGTCAGGTAATTTGGACCTTATTGTAATGATTAAAGTGACATTCATTAATATTACATTTTTCGTTTAGTCTGTCTTCTAGGACCTGGGCCTAGACTATGCACGCAAAAAACATTTTTGGCGTATAAATGGCACGAGAAATAATGTTCGTGGTATAGATACGCACTTTCATGAGACTGTGTTGGAATATTAGACTGCTGTCACTTTAAGACTTAATGCACATATACACTGTTTGATAGGGACCTGTCTCCACTCAAGGCTCAACCCTAACCCTAACTCTGAGAAGATACAATTTTTCTGTTAGGGTAACTAACAGTAAAAAATATATTTTTAAAAATGTTTAGCTCACTTTTCTCTTTTATATTATATTTAATATTTGATTTAAATTTAAGCCGGTTAAAAGCAAATAGTCTTTTAGTTGGAAAAGGAGAGCACACAGCAATAATATTTTATCATGAACACTTGTTTAAAAGTCCACTGAGATATCAAGGTTCAGATATTGACAGACATGTCTTTGCTAACTTACATAAGATGTGTAAAGAGAGGTGCACTGATTTCATATACTCTATTTCTTTCTCATTACATTATTTTTCCAAAATAAAGGGAAAGAATATGTTATATTGAAATATATAAAATAGTGAAAATAAAAAGTATTCTTTTGCATTACCTGATTTTGTGCTAATATCACGGTTACACTTTACAATAGGTCCGCTATTATGCATTTATTCATGTTTATGTACTAAAGTTTATGTACAAAATCATAAAAAAAAATCACATTCTTACTGCAATTTTTTTTCTTTTCTATATAAAATCGGCATGTGT